GTGTGGCTCATCATACGTACAGCACATGACAGACAGATCAGACAGACAGAACAGACAGACAGACAGACAGACAGACAGACAGACAGACAGACAGACAGACAGACACAGGGAACCAATTCATGCATTCATTCGTTCATGACTCTATCGGACTGTTCAACAACAGAAGCTTTTGTTAATGGCTGCTGCTCGCCTCTCCGCCCTTGGTTGGTTCGATACCGTTCGATATCTCTTGTCTTCCTTCACCATGGTCTGTCTGCCTGCGCTTCGGCATACTCATAGGCACTACTCGTCCTGCCTACCCTTCATTGTGCTCTACGCACGCAATCGCCGATTCGATTCGATCCCCCTTTCATTCCTCCAGCACCACCTTCGACTGCCGTTCCCTTTCAAGTCCCCCTTCCGGTGTCTTCTCTTTCAAAGTCCACCTTCTGCCTTGTTCCTTCTTCCAAGTCCATATTCTGCCGTCTTCACTCTCAAACGCTTGTTGCTGGACCACAGGGAAGAGAAAGGAATTGATCCGAGACGTGATTTGGCTGTGGGGGACAAGACTACAACGGCTGAGGGCGCCTCCTACGCAGATGATTGATTTCAATGGCGGTTACGGCGCTCTGGCACTGTTTCTTGTTGGCGTCTTTCAATCCGCGGACACCTACACACACACAACACAACAAACAGGGAATCCGATTGTTCATGCAAGTGTTCTGACAACAGAAGATGGAGAGTTCATTGCAACTGCTGGTCTCTGCCCTCGCTTTGGTTCGGAATCTGTCGATATCAATCGTCTTCACCATGGCATGGCCTGCCTCTGGCTCGACAAGCACAGAAGGGCACTCGTTTTCCCTACCAACCCACCATTGTGCTCAGCAGTACGTATACACAATCGCTGACTCGATTCGATTCGATCCCATCATCCTGCTTCTGAGAGCTGAGGGACACATGGCTGGTGGTAAACTTCGGCCCTTGTATGAAATCAATCCAACACGACCTTCTACTGTCGTTTCTGTCCAAGTCCATTCTCTCTCAAACACTGTCTTGACTGTCCAAGTCCATCTTCTACTGTCGATTCTGTCCAAGTCCGCCTTCCGGCGTCTTCTTCCTGCCGTCTTTGCTCTACAAGGCCACCTTCTACTGTCTTGTCCTTCAAAGTCCACCCTTTGCCTTTTTCTCTCTACAGGTCCATCTTCTACCATCTTCTGCTGTCCTTTATGCCAAAGTCCACCTTTGACTGTGTTCTGTCCAAGGCCACCTGCCTTCTGCTGGTCTTCTTGTTCCCAGAATCTCCTTTCTGCTGCGTTTCCTACCAGACTCTACGTTCTGCTGTCGAATATCTCCAAGTCCCCTTTCTGCTGTCTTGTCTGCCAAATTCTGCCTTCTGCTGTCGTTTCTGTCTCGGAATCCCCTTTCTGCTGCTTTCTCTACCAAATTCTGCCTTCTGCTGTCGTTTCTGCCAAAGTCCACCTACCTTCGACTGTCATTTCCGTCGGAGCCGACCTTCTCTCCTCTCACACAACTGGATTTTCACCGAATACCGCCTCTCTGCCGTCGAATATTGACTCCTTCCCCATATTCTACTGTCGTCTCTGTCAAAGTCGACCTGCCACTGTCTTTTCTCTACACAGACACTGGATTTTGACAAAGTCCAAAGTTCTACCGTCGAATCTTCTCCCCCATGACCACCTGCTACTGAATTTCTAAAGTCCACACTGCCTGCCGTCATTTCCAAGTCCAAAATCTCCTGGAATTTGTCCAATTCCACGGTCTACTGTCTTCTCTCTTCTCTCTTCTCAAACAACCGTGATTTTCGCCGAGTTCCCACGATTCTACCAAATTTCATCCGAGTCCCATCCTTCCGGCGTCTTTCCACGTCCAAAATCTACTGGATTTTCACAAAGTCCCACGATTCTGCTGCATTTTTGGCCAGGTCCACCCACGCTCTACTGTGTCCCTCCCAAATACTGGATTTTCACGGTCAAAGTCCAAAAATCTGCTGTGATTTCGCCAAGTCCCACGATTTTGCGGGATTTTCACAAAGTCCACCAAGTCTCCATGGGCTCCCGGGGCCCAAGACCCCCCAGCTGCGGCGTTGGGATCTACGACGGATGTTCATCACTTTGAGACAAGGAGAGCGGAAAATGGAGGTCTCATCGTGTCGTACTTGAGCGGCTAAACTCCTAAACTCCTAACAGAATGCTTAACATAAGTGCTTATGTACAAACGTAAAAACGGTGCAGAGTGGCTGGATGCCTCTCCTCCCCTCCTCCTCCCACCGACTTCGAACTTCCCGGCTGGGATGGGGAATATCTGTCGTGATAGAAGAGCAAAGAACTCGGCTACCATGACTGATATTTCCCATCACGGCCGGGAGTCCGAAAGTCGGTGGGAGGAGGGGGGGAGGAAGAGGCATCCAGCCACCCCGCAACGCTTTTCCACCATCCACCACACCCCCTCCTCAACACCCCCCGAGCCCGAAGCCCTGCCATCCTCGCCGAAACCGTTGACGTCGGCCGTACACTGTTCCCTTGACAAAGGCGGCATCGACGTCCCCCCTTCGATAGCCAACGTCCGGACTCAGGCGTGGGCTAGGCAATGACCTTCAAACAGGCCTGCCGTCCTCGCCCTCACCTGTACATTGGTCGTTGGATGAACTTTCAAGTCATGTAGCTGTGGCCCATGAGGAAGGGCATGTTGTCGTGTCATTGGATTGTGATTGATGGTGTGGCTGCTGATAAAACACAAGGCAAAAACGACCGGGACAGGGATGGCAATGCCTTAACGGCGTCGGCGTCGGTTGGCGATGGGCAAACCCCACTCTTCGAGGGCGTGCTTGTCACAGGGCCCCGGCATGCCGAACAATCGGGTGCCCATCGGGGCCTTGTCGCGTTTGGTGCAGGGAATCAACTTGATGCAGATCCCTCCATCGGGCTCACCAGGGCACATGGGCCACACCAGGGCTCCCCACATGTCCTTGTCTTCGGGCTTGGGTTCCGGAATGTCTGGATCGCGGTGGCGGTGGCAGGTGAAGCCTGACTTGAATCTCAGGATCGTTTGCGTCTCGTCGTCCTCAGATTTAGCGTGTAAGCTCTCGACGCACATTGGGGCCCCGCCAAAGGGGACGCCGGGGCAGCTTGGGTAGTGTGTCATGAGCCAGGTCTTCTCGCTTTTGGGGTCGAGGCCAAGGTTCCAGTGGTCCAACTCCTCGGCCTCCTGGCTAGTTATGCCGGCCTTGAGGGCGTCGAGGGCGTCGTCTGGTATAGACGCGGACATCTTCATGTGGTCGATGAGGGTGCGGATGGCCGACTCTCCGGCTGAGGCCGGTGGAGGAATCACCCCCTCGACCTTCTTCCACGCCGTACGACGCCGGTGGTTAAGCTCCTCGCGGTCGGTGCTTTCGGTTGGCAACGTCAACTGAGGATCAGAATCCGACGGGTGGACATGGTTGGTGTGTAACATCGCGACGCAAGGACAGTTCCCGTCGTTGTCGAGATTCTCCGCGTTCTTGTAAGGGCAGTCACTCTGGTTGTCGGGACCCTCCTCGTTCTGGCAAGGGCAGTTGAGTGTTACCCCTTCGTTATTGAAGTAGCGGGTCAGCCAGCAATTCCTTGGGTTTGTCACCGCCAGCGGTAGTCTCCGGAAGCACCGCCCCGACGTCGTGTCCCAGTACACATTGTGTCGGGCCGGTGACAGTGTGCGCAACACGTCTGTGTACTCGTCGATCCGATCCTGGATCGTTGTTTGGTCCTGGCTGGGGTCGAGGAAATTCCGGTAGAGGGCTGACCTATCCCTTCTAGCGGGGTTGAGCTCTGCGTCGAGCCATGGTTCAGCACGGGTTCCCTGCTCTACAGCGGCGCGGTATGCCGCGGCGTTCGCAAGCCACGCTCTGGCATTGTGGTAGGCGAGCATCTCCCACAGGGTGAGATGCGGGTGTTCCCTTGCCCACGAGGAGGCTGGATTTCTTCGCACTCCGGCCCCTCGGCGGGGTCTGTCTGGATTGTGAGGGATTATGATGACCGAGTCCGGGTCAGCAGGCGTTGGTCTGGTTGGGGACCAAGTAGAGCGTGTGCGGGGGATTTCGACGACCACCGAGTCCGGGTCAGGAGGCGTTGGTCTGGTTGGGGAAAAAGCAGAGCGTGTGCGAGGGATTTCGACGACCACCGAGTCCGGGTCAGGAATCGTTTGCCTGACTGGGGAAAAAGCAGAGCGTGTGTGAGCGGACTCTATACCATTGACATGTGCACCGGGGGAGTTGGGTTCGGCAGGGGATGGTGTGGCCGAGGATGGACTGGCACTGCTTTCCCCGTTCTGTGTTGGGGAACCAGGAGGGCTGTTGGTTTGGGGCGCAGAGTGAGCAGTGCCATCTGCAGAGGGAGTGGTGGCGGGGTCCCGGCGACGGTCACCGTTGGTGGTTCGGTCGCCCGTAAAGGAATCACGTTGCCCGAACATGCCGAACCTGAAGACCTCTTCTACGTCTTCGTGTTGTCCCCGAGGGCCTAGTGTGGGCTGGCTGAAGTCGGCGTCGGTCATGGAGTTTTCCCCAAAGATGTCCGCCAAGGGAGGTGGTTGTGGGCCTTGGCCTTGCCAAGCCTCGTTGTGCATGTTCCTTCCTGCACGACCTCGACCTCGACCACGACCACGACCACGATTGCGGTCACGACTGCGGCCTTGCCCACGGCTGCGACCTTGATGTCGTCGTGGTTCCTGTTGTGCTTGTGTGTCTTGTTGTTCTTCTTCCCTGGTCCACGTGCGGCGGTCAGACCCCATGCGCCGCGCCCTCCTGGCCCAATGGCCTCTCCAGTGAGTGTCGGGGTTGTCAGGTCGGTGGCGATCGACGGGTCGAAGACGAAGTGGAGGGGACGGCGGCGTGGCTGGCGGTGAATGACCAGGCTGGCGGGGCAGGTGGGCAGGTGGCGGCGATGGGTCCCGAGGCGCTGGCGCGTGGTTGGCGTTGTTTGCCCACGGCTCGTAGCCTGGAGGGTACGCGGGGGCTGTGCTCCACGGCTGCTGGGCGTTGTATGTCGGAGGCTGGTAGGCGTTGTGTGACGACGGGTAGTAGCCCAGGGGGCCGTTGTTTGCCGACGGGTGGCCTGGGGGGTACGCAGGGGGCGGGCCCCACGGCTGGTGACTGTATAAGGCTGGCTGGGGATGGTGGATGGCCGTTTGCATCACGGTGTGGTGTCTTCTGGCTTGGTCACCGCCCTCAAGTCCCTGGGAGGGACTGTGGTTTGGGTGGTCAAGGGTGCTGGGAGATTCGTCGGTGTTCGGCGACGGCTCGCGGTGCCGTGGGGGTGGTGTGACCGACCGTGTTTGTCTGTCCCGTGGGTGGGACATGGTGGTGGACAGAGGGAATGCGGGCTGGGACCCTCGGAGGTTGATGTCAGACAAAGAGGTCTTGAGGTTGTGGGCAAGGGCTGCGGTCTCAAACGAACAAACAACGCGGCATTGTGAAGGGCGGAAACGACGGTGATGTTTGAAAAGATTGCGCGACGATGAGATGTCAAGAGGGTGGATGTCAAGAGAGTGGATGACAAGAGGGTGGATGGCAAGAGGGTGGATGACATTGGTGTGCCTCAAGGAGTGAACGCTGCGCCTGAACAGGGAGAGAGCAGGACTGAATGTCAAAGCAACGATGCGGCAGTAACGACGTGCTTGGGGATGACGTCAACAACAACGCTGGAGGATAACTGACCAATGTCGATGGCGGAAATGCGGCCAAGGGACGAGGCTGGGAGGAGGGGGGTGTGCAGGCTGAGAAGAGCCTCCACAGGAAGAGGATGTTGAATAGAGATGGAGTGATGGCAAAGGATGAAGGAGAGGAAAGGGGGATGAGCCGGTTTATATACACATCCTCCATCTTTTCCCCCGAGTGCATCCAGACATTTCTACTCTACAAGCATCCTGGAAGTGTTGGGATTCGAGGCGCATGTGCTGCGCAGGTTTGGATCAGCAAACAAGAAATACGAGCCTGCGGTTCCTCCTCTGACCAAGAGTCCGAGACTATTGGCGGCCCAAACGCTGGTGCGGACTCTCGCTGCGCTGTGATTTACTCTACCACCCGAACTGACGCCTTTTTGACAGGATCAGCTGGGCGATCTGGCCGCAAAGAACACATGTGATATCGGACGGTGCCCCAAAGAGAGTGAGGCGGGATTGGCAGTCCAGCGTTGGAGGGTTTGGGGGTTTTTTGTGGTACCGAATCAGGAGAGAGTGGAGAAGAGGCAACCAACAGTTGAACGATGTAACTGGCCCAAACTCTGGTTTTTAGCGCGAACGTCAACTACATGAAGTGGGGTTTGGCGTTGTCGGGAGAAAATGAAGGAAATGCGGTGAGAATGCAAGGGATGAAGGGGGAAAAAAAACAGGGGGTAGGGCATGCCCCCGTGGTTGTGGCCGTCACTCTCGTTGTGGTTGCTGTTGTCGATAATGCCATACAATTTCGCCGCGATGGACGTGTCTTTCGTGTCTTTCCCCAGAAAACCGAATATGGAGGCTGAAAAAAACGGAGATCGGAACAAGTAAGCCGGGGGAAGTTAGAGTGAGATCAAGCAAGATAGGCGTGGCGCGGAGAGAGCGTAGGCGTGGGCGTAGGCGTGGGCGCAGGCGTGGTGTGGTGAGGGACGGCGTGTTTAGTGGGTGATAGGCTCAACCCTCCGGCATAAGCCTGGGGGGTCAAGCACCGCCTAAATCGAGCCGGAAATCCGTGGTATGACCCCCAAGCGAAGCCTAAACATCGGCCGTTGAAGCCTGAACAACCCACCCCGCCAGCCAGAGGTTACTAAGTTTGGCGGGGACGGGGGAGTGCGAGGTAATGCCGCCGACCTAATATCTCAACGCAATTCACTGCCACACGCGGTTGATCGGCCTGAAATTGATGGGAATTGACTCTGAAAACTCTGTATATCCAATTCCGCAGTAACTTTGTGAGAAAGGTCAAAGCAGCAAAGCACAAAGGCAGGAAAACAGGTCAAAGTCCGGGGGGGGGGGGGGGGGGGTTGCAACAACGGCTGCGATAATGCCAATACGGCCGAGTGCTGCCACATCGGATGCTGCAATAAGGCGAAGTACTACCCCCGCAAATTGTTGGTGCAGTGGTACCACGGACTACAGTGGAGCGGTGGTGTCATGGACTGCAATTGGACACGTGCGACAATAACGTCGACTGGCAATATCTCGGCTACCAAAGACCAAGACCCGCACAAGCCACCACGCCTCGTGGGATGAGGTTTGTGCCAGGGCCATTGTCGTTATATCACATGACCGAATTCTCTTCCGCACAGCTGCTGGAGAACAGAGGGCGGCAGAGGATATGTGTATATGTATATATCAAGGTATGCATACAGGCAACGCAACGGCAGCAACCACCAGGTCCTGCACCTCGCTGCCAGCGACGACGAGTGCATCAACGACAATCCCCGCCAATTTCACACTGTTTCGACAAAAAGTGAGAGAAAAACCAACACTCGGGGGCATGCCCTTCAGCGACGACGTGCATGAGGTCTCCAGGCCCGTGCGCGGGGTCACTTGGTCACCCGGGGAGTCTGTGCCGGGAGTGCCGTGAGTGAGTGATCACACTCCCCCTTGCAAAAGTGCAATGACCAATGACAACTGAACAACGGCGTAGAAAAAGGCAACGTTGAAGCTGAAAGGGCCTCGAACTTTGTCACCCTTGCATGAATACGATGAAGGCCATGTGATGGGCAATGGGAATCTCCACCTGCTGACCGGTGACAGGCATCGATGAGCCATCCAGACTCCGTAGGCAAAGGTTATTGAGTGGTGATGTCAACGCCCCCGGTTCCACTGTTGTTGTTGTCTTGTTGGTTCTGCGGGGCGTCCGATAGCGTCGTCGAGCGGAAGCGAGGTGGAGCGAGGTGGCAGCTTGCACTTGTAACCACACACACACACACACACACACACACACACACACACACACACACACACACACACAACACAC